GTACCCAGCCTGAACCTCACCACACCTTGGTAATCCCGCCGCTGTTTGTTCGCGACTGTTTAGTTGTTGCGGTATACCACAACTTATTCACAGCTAACCCCCTTCGGTGAAGATATCCCTCTATCCACAACCTGGGGAGGCGCCTGGTAGCTCTGCCTAACCCGACGGTTTTAAGATAGTAGGGTTGCCGAAATCAGAGTACGTAAGCGAACCATCCCCGTCCCTGTTGACCGGGTTCTATCTCAGCCGTTCTGCGTAAAAGCTGTCGTTTCCCAAGGTTCAGTACTTGCTCCCACCCTCTTTATTCTATTTATCAATATTCCCCTTTTTAAAACTGTCAACCCAATCCATTATTTTCTCGATGAGTCCACCCTCTCCTCCCTCACTACTCACCATGGCCAAACCACCAGCGATCGTGATCGTAGTTCAGTTAATTTGTCACCGGACTCCAATCTGGAACACATGTCCTCTAGGGACAATGTCAACCCCGTTTCATTCAATGGTTCTAAAACCTCTCTTCTTTCAATTCCCTTAAAACACCATTCATCTTTTAATTCCACCCAACTACGTTCCAGAAACTGTTTCCTTTCTTGCATTGCATAGAAATGTTTTATTCGGGTTCCTTTTGTAGCTCAGCTGGCTTCTCGTATTGTGCACAAGATTGCCTTTTTATTTCGCGTCAGCCGTTTTCTTCACCCCAGCTCATCTTTGACCATACAAAGCTCAAATCCGCCCTGCTCTTAAATACGGCAGTCACGTGTGGGGTTGCGCTTCGTCTTCTCTTTCCCTTGTTGATCGTGTTCAACGAAAGTCCATCCGGCTGATCTATGATTCTTCCCTAACATCCAGTCTGTAGTCACTAGGCAGTTGCTTAACTGTCCCTGCTCTACCATTGCTACTTTGTTTTTTTTTCTTCGGAGCATGCCTCGGTAGTTCCCCTTACCCGCTCATCCTGTACACAGGCATCTGGTTATTCTTATCAGATTTCAATTCCCATATATACTTCTCTACTCCAATCTTTTTTCCGAACTCGAAGTTGTGGAGCATACTCCCACTTCCTGTCTTTTTCCCAACTGACGCAGAATCAATAAATAGGATCTTATGTGAATTTTCTCCTACTCTCCCTTTTCCAGTATACTAATTGTCTATGGGGCTTTTCCCTTTTACTGTAATTCACATCGTGTAATTAAAAAAAAACGTTAAAAAACATCTGATGTGAGATTAATGAAAAGTTGATTGGGCGGTATATGTGACAATAAATTTGTTTTTGTTTTCGTTTTATTTACTTTTTAGATCACCACAAAAATTCCATCACGGTTTTTTAATACTCTACTATGCGATCCCCTTTGCGACCGAGAAACCTCGGATTGCTTGCATTTGTTGGTGTTTGCACTATCGTCTTCTTCACCCTTCGGCGAGGCTTGGAATTTGGTTCGACTGAGAAGTAAGTGGTAAATCATCGATTCATAACTTGTTTCCTTTGATAGCAGTCCGTTAGTCGAAGGAATCTTACTGTCGGAATCCGAGTTCGATACCGCTGCTGATGATAATGCGATGGTCCAAATCCCACCCGAACAACCTCGCTCCTCNCCACCCGAACAACCTCGCTCCTCGATGGATCAGTGCTATCAAGTCACTCCGTTGACTTGTGTGTTTGATAGCAAGGCCAGTCCCGGTTGCTATCTAATCAATAATGTCGAACCGGTTGTTCCTCTTGGTCTGATAAGAACTCAGTACGAGGTAAGTGGTCGTGCATCGTCAGGTGATTGTTTTCGATTGACGCCGATAATACAGGTACTTAATTATTTTTAATTTTCATAATGAACATTTCCATCTAGTTTGTTCTAATCATTACTTTCTACTAGGAATTCACATGAAACGGGGCTAATACCTATGGGACCATCACGACGAGACTGCCCGTGGACGTGGTGTGATGGCTTGTGCACCTTTTCTGACCCAACGAGCTACACAGAATGGCTTTTGTCAAGCCGAAGGTCTAATCATGCCTGGAAGGTCTAAGGGTAGAGGTCGGACGAAGATCAGTCTCCTGGTCATCCAGGTTGGGGGTTCGATTAGAATTTGCATTTCAATCGGTATACGATGGTGGAGGAGTAATCGATCCAATTAGATGGGCCTCCACTTCGATTCGCTTGCTGCCTTGCGGTTAGGTTTTTGTCAGAACTAAAGGCTTTGTTCGAGAACCGTACTTAGTAGCTACCCTAGCAGTACCCGTCCATCAAACCCCAATACATATGCATTGCGAGTTTGAAAGCGATCAGTGAAGTTCGCTTCCCTGTATTTCACTGTACGATGATGATGATGATGATGATGAATACCTATGGGCGGACCGGGGAGGGGGGAGGGAGAGGAATGACAAAAAATGGTTAATTTTACTGAGCTAAACGTGCCTTTCATTCAATAATATAGTACCACCACTTCCATTCAAATACGTGTGATCGGCTGCTGGTTCTACTCTGCCGTGCATTTTTATTTGCATTCTGGTTGTTTCTTAATCTGATGGTTCACATTCAACTCGCAGTTACCTGTGCTAGGATGTTGGAGTTTGAAGATAGTGGTTGCAGCGTTAGTTTAAAAACCGGCTGTGTTCTTATGAAACGGCTTCTGTCCTTTAGTTCGCACCAGTCACCCAACTGTTCTTTGTGGTTGTACAGAGTTGCTTATATGCAACAACGGCCATACGCTGGAAACCGCTTGACAAGCAAGAGTAACTGGGTTCTTCGGTGAATGGAGTCACGGTTTCGGCTGTACACGTGAACCAGTTCTGGCAAAATAGTCTATATGAGGTCATATTCTTAATCCAACGGTTTTCAAGATTGTCTAAACTCAGATGGATCTTTGCGAACATATTAAACATTGCTCGTCATACTTGCTGGTGTGGAGGCTAGATGTCCACCCTACGGCGAAAAGCCAAGCGATGCTGTGGTCTTCAGTCATACCTAATTCCCACCGCAATTCATGGACTCTTCAGTAAACCGGCTTGTTCTCTAACAAGAGATAACCGAAACAAAGTTAGGTGAATTGATTTCGTGATTTTTTTCGGCACATGTTTACGCCCTGTATCAACAAGTACATCCAGCCGCATTCACTAGTGTTTTTTTCTCTAGGAGAGAAATTGACCTCCATGTTGTTCCATTCCTAGTGATTAGGAAGGGGGTGGAGAGAAATTGACCCCTTTTCGGTCAATTTTATTGCACAACTTTGCGTGAGAAACAGTTGAAGAGGTGAACTCCATTCCCACGAAGTCGTGGTGTACAGTGATGGAGACCGGAAACTCATGTCCCCGAACTCGGAATGGCAAGCCGCCTAAAACCTCAATGGGTTAGGCGTGGTATTGGACCGATAAGAGATGCCAACAAGAGCATCACTGGTATTGAGTCGCTGCCGTATCCTTTAGTGTCTCCAACTAACCGGTTGAACCGCCACTCGTAAGGCGTGGTGCACCTGCTATACATACCAACTCCATGCATTCCTCTGTTCTCCGACTTTGCATCATCCGTGGATCTCCAACTGGGTGCAGCAACGTCGAATATCGCGACAGACGGCAGATTAGCATGCGGTGACGGGATGCTTCGTTTAAGTTTAAAAGTCGTGTACACTGCGCCACTGTACGATCAGTTCTGCTTTACGGTTGTAAGACCTTGATTATGCAGGTAGAAGACATCCGTCGCCTATCGGTTTTCGACAATCGATGCTTACGTAGTCTAGCCCAAGTGGAGTGGAGTGAGTCGGTTAGTAGATTAGAAGTAAGTCGTCAGGTGTTTGGGAATTCATCGAACAATAACTCGCTATTGCATCGAATTGAGCTGAATAAGCTCCGTTTGTCATGACACGTTTTGCGTATGTTTGACGGTGGTTTACCGCAGCGTGCCTTGTTCGCAGTAGCTGATGCAGGCTGGAGAAAGCCACGTGGAGACGGGACATGAGGAAATGCACAGAGCGATTAGTTAGAGTAGGTGTCTCTGGTCTTCCGGGGTGGGGTCCAAAAGACCCCGAAACAGCATGGTTGGAGATACTAAAAGTCGAGACTAAATTCAAATTTTT